CTACCTTGAAAAGTGCTTTGCCAATTTTGCGAAAAACTTAAAAATCAGATTGGAGACCATTTCAGCGGTGACGAACACTAAATATAGGTCGTGATGAAATTGACGTAAATTATGGTATAAGAGGTTGTAAACCGACAGTAGATCAGTATATTTTTAAAGTTATTTGTTCTAGATGGATATTACATGTTATATTGCATTTACGAGCGTGCACAAAAAATTATGCATTGATAGTCGAGGTAAACGTTAAAGTCAGACGTTCTGAGAAAAAAATATTGACTTTATCCATACATAGGTTGTTGCACGTTTGAACCTTCTTTGGAATTCACTGACTATTCATCTCTTATTTATGCTGATTGCCTCTAAACAAACTGAATTTTACCGTCCTTTTAGCGATATGGGGTCAATGTTGTAAAACGACCTGAAGGGATCCAGGCGTTCGAAAACTCCAGCAAATGACCAACTGGTTCATCAATGAAATTAATACCTGCTTACAACCGCGAAGTCTGAAAATTAATTTTTCTGCCCTTTTCAATGCTTAAAATACCAACCTTGGTTTTCAAAAATAAAATTAACTGAAACATGCCATTTCTATAAATTGGATTGGGAATATTTATTTTTGAATCCATAAAGGTTGACCTTTACGAAACAGATGAGGCGCGTACATGGGGAACGGATGCTGTGACTCATAGGACACAAAATATTAGATGATGCAGGAAAGCAACTGAAGATGATCTAAAATGAGAGTATATTTTTATAAAAACGCGTGGATATTGGTGATAAATAAGAACAGTAAGCGTAATAAATTTTAAAAGGACTACACTTATCTCCGAAGTAAAGTTTACATAGCTTCGGAAATACACAATGTGGAGGCTTTGCCGAACGTCCAAAAACGTCGAAGTGCTTATTTTTCGGCCATGTAGTTTAGAACGGAAGCCTAACGAAATATTTTCATACTTCGCGAGTTCCTTCATTTGCGTCGGTATTTAACAATCGAATCCAACCTTATCTAACACATTAAGAGTGAACATTTTACGATAGGAAACAGTTTATCCAGGACCAGATTATCAACAAACATTAGGGAGACTGGTATGGTCGTTTCTGGCCTACCAGCCCATCGTCCGCCAGCATTACCCATCTCCGGGTTCGGTGTAATCCGAGGCTCGGACTTGCGTTCTTCTGACTGATAGGCGGTAGTACATCCAACCGCAATCGTTAGTCCACAGACTCCTTGTCCTGTCGGTTGGGATCGGAAATATTAACGTTCACTGATCGGATGACGGGACCCGCTCGTCCTGTTGCGCTTTGAGGCTGGATCTGGACTCCCACAGCATTCGTACAGCGACAGGCAATATACGCAGGAGATGACCAATAAAGAGAAGGGAAACTGAGATTTCTCAGTGGTTAGAACTGACATCTAGTGAACCATAAATGTTTATCGAACTCCCCCTTGTTTATTTGTCTGACCTGAAAACCCGCTCAGTTACTGATTACAATTCAACGAGAGCCGAGTGACGAAAGATTTTGTCTCCCCGGGACACTTGTCTTCCTGAGACACTTGCAGACACTGCTCTCGCGGTGTCGGTCGAGCCATCGTCCGACTGCCAAATCCTACCAACCTCTTCTCTAATCGTTCTGAACGGAATAAAACCTCCTCCCAACTGGCGTTCCACGCCTTAGGCCGCTGCGATAGTAACACTACCGAGGTGGGCGCGGGCTCGATGACTGACAACGCCATCCACCTCGTCTAAGTGTGCTAAACACACAATATGTTCCCTGCTCATGTTACAAGGACCATAATTTCTGTGTTAGTGAAGATCATCATGCATGCACACCAGGCCGATAACACGAAGTTTTTTAAATTAAATTTTAGAACGGACATAGTGTGGAATGATAGCCTCAGTTTGCAGTAGGTGGATCTGACCTACCTGGGGAGTTAACATTTAAATGGAACTTGCAATCGGAACTCAAGTAGTGTTTAGGTTTATTCTGGGCTCTAGGAAGCTGTTTTCTGCTCCAAGGCCTCATCCAACAGTCGCTGTGACTAAGGAACGAAACTCTATGAGCCCAACCATGGCTTCTTCACAACACGGTGCATTTTCAAAAACATCATGCAAACACGACAAGTCGACGGTGCATACGTGGCGAATTTGTTGAAATATTCATGAATTCTGAAGCGATATTTCCCCGGTATGGATTTGACTGCAAACGCCATGCTCACTAGCCGTCATGTGGTTTTACGCGATCCGCCTATAACGTGCTGCGTAGTTTGCGCTAGAAGCCGGATTTACAGAGACAGTAGTTCAGGGGATGGGTGAGGAAGCGAATTCGCGTTTTAAAAAAATGGATAAAAATGTTCAAAAAAACTGGTATTTCCTGTGACGTCTGTTTCGATCCGGCAGGATTTGGAGATGAGCTCTGTAGAATATGCTTTACTCAAAGTCATTACCTGGGTCTACGGGAAAACTGAAGAAGACCCAAACCAAATCCCCAACAAGACGTTAACCAAGATCATTCTCGTTCACTTTGTGCCCAGTGCACTGTGAACGGTCTTTTCCTTAAACTTAGTCAAGGCTTATTTTATTTAGGATACGGTCGACTGGGTTTCTGCCCTGAGGATTATTCAGACAGCGCAGCGAATTCACAGTCTTGTAACCCATCAAGTAACCCTGACTACGACTTGGCAATGATAACGCAAGTGGAACTGGAACCTCTTAGAAGCTTAGAAAGTTTTGAAGACCAAGTTGCAATTTGGTCGTCCAGGTTACTTTATCTATGATGGTGTTTCTGAGAGAAATGACTTCCACACTAATTTCTATCGCGCACAGCGAATTTGTTGAAATAGTCATGAATTTCTAAGCTATATTTCCCCGGTATGGATTTGATTGCAAACTCCATGCTCACTAGCCGTCATCTGCTTTTGTGCGATGCGCCTATAACTGACTAAATAGGTTGCTCTAGACGCCGGATTTACATTGGCAGTTGTTCAGAGGGACGGGCGAGGGAACAAATCAGCGTTTTAGAAAAAATGGGAAAAAATTTCCAAAAAACTAGTATTTCATGTGACGTCTGTTTCGATCCGGCAGGATTTGGGAATGAGCTCTGAATAGCATGTTTTACTCAAAGTCATTTCCTGGGTCTACGGGAAAACTGTAGAAGACCCAAACCAAATCCCCAACAGGACGTTAGCCAAGACCATGCTCGTCCATTTTGTGCCCAGTGCACTGTGAACAGTCTTTTTGTTAAACTGAGCCAAGGTTTTTTTAGTAAGGATGCGGTACACTGGGCTTTGGCCGTGATCGTTATTCAGACAGCGCAGCGAATTCAAAGTCTTGTAATCAATGGGGTGACACTGACTGCGACTTTGCAATGGTAACGCAAGTGGAACTGGAAACGCTTACAGTAGATGTGATAACTCATGAAATGTCAACCAAAATTTCGAAATGCGTTCTCTTTTCGAAACGATAAATTAAGTAGTGTTGTAAAACTAATCATGATGCAGCATAAATCTATAATGATCCAGTTACCTCAGGGTGTCGACTTTCGAAAGAACTTATTTTCGGCTACATACAAGATCTATACTCTGCAAAAAATGACTGCTTAATTACTATGCAATTTTCTCATTGATTTTCGATGCCCTTGAAAATTCAATTATATTTTATGGAAAACATTCATAAAAATATTCATTCTTTTACTTGTTTGGTAGAAAAGTATGTCTTTTTCCAATTTCATACTCAAAAGAAGAGTATAATTCGGTTTTAAAAAACTTTTCTAATTCCCGAATAATTTTGAACCAGACCTGCTGTTACACTTGCATTCAGAGTTTCAAAACTAAAAGCTGTATATTTTCCGTGTACGGAAAACCATGCATTTCTCTACGGTGTTAAGAGGAGACCATATGAGGTTCATAAAATTAAGCAGTGGATTTGAGCAATATTGTTTACTTAACGAGCCACATTCGTAAATGCGGATACATGACGTTTCATGAACGTCCATTTAACGGTATTAAAAAATCTCACAATTAGAAACTTTTTAAAACCGAATTATACTCTTCGTTTGAGTATGAAATTGGAAGAAGACGTGATTTTCTACCGAATAAGTAAAAGAATGAATATTTTTATGAATGTTTTCCATGAAATATAATTAAATTTCTAAGGGCATCGAAAATCAATGAGAAAATTGCATGCTTCATAAGTAGTCGTTTTTTGCAGAGTTTAGATCTTGCATGCAGCCGAAAATAAGTTCCTTCGAAAGCCGACACCCTGAAGTAACTGGATTATTATAGATTTATGCTGTATCATGATTAGTTTTACAACACTACTTAATTTATCTTTTCGAAACGAGAACGTATTTCGAAATTTTGGTTGACATTTCATGAGTTAGCACATCTACTGTAGAAGCTTAGAAAGTTTTGAAAACCAAGTTGCAATTTGGTCGTCCAGGTTACTTTATCTATGATGGTGTTTCTGAGAGAAATGATTCCCACACTAATTTCTATCGCGCACAGCCCTTAATGCAGGTTTTGTCAGTACCGGGAGTATGACGTCTTTTTTGCGATAATGGTGTTATTTAAACAGAATTTGTCGATCAAATATTTCTAGAGGGGTTAGCGTTCGACCCCCGTTTCATCGTCGAACTGTCTGCGATGTTGTTGCCGAGCTGGTTTAACAAAAACGGCCGCAAACCTAAGTGCAAAATTTCGGCAGTTAATGAATATTACGCGGTAATCCGCTGTGGCTGATGGATTTCGGCCCAAATATTAATGCATAAAAAACTAAGGTTTGAGCCTACAGACCTTAAATATACTGATCTACTCCAAATTTTCAGTAAATTTCTAAGGAGGTTAAAAGGCTACAATTTCTAAATCGAAGTATCTACCGGAAAGCAGACAGGAATTGCTGGGAGATCCAGTGACGCGACTCGGTAGTTTGATTGTCGTGACCGACGATTTCCACATCATGCACCACCAAAGGGTGAAACTAGGGAAACTAACTGCGCTTGAATTAGTTTATAGTGATGGCAGACATGGGCAAAATCCACCACAAACTCTCTTCCTCCTCCGCTTGGTCCCGATGTCGTGACCAGCTAGAGAAGACTGGAGGCGCGAGAGGACGCAGGTGGCTGACACGACGAAAACTTGCTTCCGAAATCGGCGAGTCCATTGGTGTTCCATTCACTTGCTCGTAGATTGTTCCGTCAGACGTGAAGAACGTCCTGAGACAGAAATTTAGGAGCTGAAGGATTTGGGCATGTCCGAGACGATTCCCCGTTTCATTGTATTTGCTTCGTAGGAGTAGCTCGACGGTCTCCATTGCCAGATCCTGGGGGATAGAAGTAAAGATATAGGCGACATCAAAAGATACCATTACCTCACTTTGCAGGAGACTTACTCCTTTAAGCTTCTTCAGGAATTGTATTGACGAACAGGCGGTGGTTTCCAAATCAGAGGTCAGAAATTTGAGGTGCAAAAACAGCCATTTTGTCTGTCCGTACGTTGTAGCCCATCAAGTAACACTGACAGCGACTTTGCAATGATAACGCAAGTGGAACTGGAACCTCTTAGAAGCTTAGAAAGTTTTGAAGACCAAGTTGCAATTTGGTCGTCCAGGTTACTTTATCTATGATGGTGTTTCTGAGAGAAATGACTCCCACACTAATTTCTATCGCGCACAGCCCCTAATGCAGGTTTCGTCAATACCGGGAGTATGACGTCTTTTTGCGATAATGGTGTTATTTAAACAGAATTTGTCGATCAAATATTTTTAGAGAGGTTATCGTTCGACCTTCGTTTCGTCGTCGAACTGTCTGCGATGTTGTTGCCGAGCTGGTTTAACGCCTCATGTTGACCTCCGGTCTGTGTGCAACTCCAACCCCAAGTGGTGCAAGAAGGCGGATAACGGCCTCGCAGACGTTCTTGGTGTACGGGATCGCTCGCCAGAATATGGAGTCGGCACAGTTTTGTCGCTCGTCTCGTTTGCACATACACCGGTTGACGAAGTTGCGCGGGTAATCATTTTCTCTGAAAACCCGTCGAAGATATTGGGATTCGGCAACCTTGTCTTCCGGTTCACTGCGGTGCGTCTCAACACGCCGACATAGCGTTCTTACGCAACAGCGGTTGTGCCTGTTTGGGTGGTTATTGCTAAGGTTCAGTATTTGCGTCGTGTTCGTCGCTTTTCTGAGCACTGGTCTTTAGACCACCACAATCTTTGCGACAGACGAGGACATCAAGGAATGCCAGCTGGTTATTTTCTTCCTCCTCCATCGTAATTTGAATGTCCGGGAAGACGCTTTTGAGACGTTCTCTGAATATTAGCACTTGATCCCGTTCGGTGACAACGAAGGTATCGTCCACATACCGGGCCCAGACCGAAATTCTGGGCTCGGTTGGAGTTGCACACAGACCGGAGGCCACCATGACGCGTCAGGTGATGAATGGAAATGGACATTCAGTAGAAGATATTCTGCCGTTGCTGAGATATCGTGGAATTATGTCGCAGATAATGGTTATTACGACTTTAACGAGGCAATTCTTTTGAATAAAAAAAAAACAATTCGGAATTTCGGTTGTCATTTCAGGCGATGGGCTAGACCTCCTAGTTGTGGAAGTGAGTAGTACTAGCCTCAGTGTGCATGAAATAACTGTCTAAGCAACAGATATTTGGGTGCAGGTTCCTTGGTGTGAAACAACTAAATTATGCGACTGGCCTGCTTGTCCAACTGAGCTCTACGACAGATTGGCGAGCAGTCCAAATACCAATGAATAACTGCTGCCGATCGAGCCCTGCCACAGAATCTCGTAGGATGATTTTTGCCTGCCAACTGAAGCTGAATCAGCAAGAAAGTTTTTGTTTTTCCTCCTTTTCTACGAGGCGCCACGCGACCAAATTAATGAGGCCGCTGTAAGTGCTGCGTAAAAATTGTCTATTTATCCCAGCATATTCAACAATTTCTTAAACGAAAAATGATGAATTAATTGGTGGAAGCTTAAACAGGATCAGCCTAATTGTCATAGGCACCCGATTAAACGATTTCTCCATACACCGTCAATCTAGCTTCCCACCCGCCAAAGCCTTATTATTGTGGATTTCGAGTGTGATTTAGCAGAGTTCGCTGGAAGTACTCAGTATACGTGAAAGTGGGGGACGTTCATTGGAGTGTCACCACGTGCACGATTCGTGTGAGTCCGCAAGAGTCCTTGACTTAATTCCAAATCACACTTGCGCTAACCCCTAACTTTAACCCTAATCCCTAACTATAACCCCTTACCCTAAACCCTAACACCTAACCCTGGCCCCTGACCATAACCCCTAACCTCTAAACCTACCCCCTTACCCTAACCCCAACAGTATTGTGTCCATCAGGTGGGGCTTTCGAACCACATCTTATCCAAAACAAAAATCAGGGACAAAATCACAGTGCTTACCACTGCTCATCTTGCCATCATGAAATATTTGCTCGCCTCTATAACGTCCAGTCGCCAATCGATCTGAAGGGAGAAACTGACCTGTTGGAAGATTAGGATCATTACCCCCGGCCAGACCAGATTTTCCGGAGAAGGATAACTCGATGAGGTGGTTGCTGGTTAAATCACCTTCTGAATTAGATGGAATCCCGTTCCCATTTCGCCATCAAAGACAAATTCCTAACCTGTCACCGGAATTCCACGATTGCCTCATGCCCGGAGTAGTTGATTTAAGGATATAAAAAATAAGTTATGCCATGTGGATATGACTTCTATGAACTATAATGCAAGAGTGAAATTCGTTGTGCTGTTAAGGGTAACAGAATTTGCAAATTACTCACTGACCAAAAGGCATAAACCCTTCGACAAGTATTACGCAAAGCCATTTGCTGAATGTCAAATTCTCCACTCCAATTTTCGCTTCAGAATGCTTTCGCATTTTGCGTATAGGCGAGACGAGACGCGTTGCTGTCTGTGAATACTGAACTAATTGGTCGCGGTTGTTATACTGCTTATCTTGTGGCCTACTTTTATAACATTTCGGACTCGGCAGGATGTCGGCTTTTAAATGCACATCTTTTCAACCTCCAGTAGAAAGCGTGCTCGGTAAAAAAAATGACTTCTTAAGTAGCATGCCTTTTTCCCATTGATTTTCGATGGTTTTGGAAATTTAAATATATTTTATAGAAACCATAAACAAAAATATGCTTTCTTTTAGTCAATCAATAGAAAATCACGTCTTCGTTATATTTTATACTCAAGGGAGGAGCATAATTAGGTTTTAAAAAAGTTTCTAATTATGAGACTTTTTAAGACCGCGATATGTCCATTCGCATAGCATCGTACCTGGTCGTTTACCACTGCTCCTCGTGAGATGTACAACATGGCCCGCATCCATTGCAAAATTTTATGGACTCTGTATGATATCTCTTTAATGGCATAGAAAAATTTGTGATTTTCTTTACGCTGAACGAATGCACCTTGTAGAGTGTAATCACTAGGCGCTAATGCAACGAATGATCAGGCCCCAAATTATCCGGCAATTAAAAAACTTTTTTAAAACCTAATTTTACTCCTTCCTTAAGTATAAAATATAACGAAGACGTGATTCTCTATTGGTCGACTAAAAGAAAACATATTTTTGTTTGTGGTTCCTATAAAACATATTTGAATTTCCAAGACCGTCGAAATTCAATGGGAAAAAGGCATACTACTTAAGAAGTCATTTTTTACCGAGCACGCTTTCTACTGGAGGTTGAAAAGATGTGCATTTAAAAGCCGACATCCTGCCGAGTCCAAAATGTTATAAGAGTATGCCACAAGATAATCAGTATTACAACCACGACCAAGTAATCCTTCCTAATCGAAAACGCATTTTAGAATTTCAACCAACATTTCATGAGATAGGTCACGCACTGTAAGCCTGAAAAACAAAACGTGTTTAGTAATTCATGATTTGATAGGCTGTCTGTCCAGTGCTAAATAAGTTGACTGTTATCATGGTACGCATGCTCTGTAATTTATGAAGGCAAAATGTGAGCAATTACATTTTGATGGATGGAATGGGAACAAACTGTTTGTTCCCCATTAAATTGAAGCATTTTTTTCCCGGAAGAATTTTGAACAAGGCAAAAGCGACGAAACACGCAGAATTTATTGACGTCATTAAATTTCTTGGCCTCTTATTCAACTGCACACGGGCATTGCGTATTTATAAGGCAAACTGATCAACCAGAGATAGGTCTAGAGTGATGAAACATGGCAAATAAATGAAACATATAAAGTTAGTCTGATATGCGGGTGCGCATGGTGGGGATAGCAGGCGGCGGGGAGGAAAATTATCCAAGCCAACGAGTTGACATTACTGTGAGACGTGAATAAAATTCAACACTCGAAACGACAGTCAGTCATGTGGGGGGGAAGGGGGGGATGGGAGAACAGGTGTGGGAATGATGTGAAGTCATTGTCGATGCTTAGCATAGCAGTGTGGAGGTCGATCACGTGATCCAGCTGTTTACAGAGTTCCGGTTTCCCCCCCCCCCCCCCCGTATTTCAGCTGCTTCGGCAAAGCCCGGGAGACGTCCAGTCGTCACCCGAAGTAGGACCTTAAATGCAGTCATTGGGTGAACCGTGTGGCATGTGTCCACTAGGCGCTTCGTAATTGAGCTCCTGAGTACCTCATTCTCCACCTTTAACAGTCACTTCGGAATGTGTTCAACTGACCGAACTGCCAACTGCCTTTGAGTGCGCCCAATGTATTTGCATCCGCAACTACATGTGTGCTCATAAATATAGCTTGATGTGGCGTGCATCGGCAGAATGCCTTTTGCTGATTTTACTGGAAAATCCGTTGTAGTGCTTATGAACACATGCAGTTCACACGCCAAAGTGGATGTTAAGGGCAGAGAATAAGGTACCCAGGTGCTCAATTACGAAGCACCCGGTGGACACGCGCCACATGGTTCACCCAATGACTGCATCTAAGGTCCTACTTCGGGTGACGACTGGACGTCTCCCGGGCTTTGTCGAAGCCTCTGAAATACGGAGGGAAATACCGGAACTATGTAAGCAGCTGGATCACGTAATCGACCACACACTGCCATGGTAAGGATCGACAATGACATAACCCCATGCCCACGTCCGTTC